CAGATGCAATTGTAACTGAAAAGAAGATTAAAAAAAATAATAAAACAAAGTCACTTGGATAACATAATAATGTTATAGAAAAAAAATAACATTTCTGTAAGACAAAAGTTGAAGTTATTGGACCAGTGCAAGAACTAGCAATCTCATCTGGGGCAAATATCACTCCTATGCTTTGGGAAGAATACAGATTCATATGCACAAGCTCCACATGAGCACTGTTTTTGCTGGAAGTGAGGGCTCCATTCACCTAATTTTCCTTTGAGGTATAATGAAGCACCAGCTCTATCCTGGGTATTCTCCATGTACCTACTGCCATGATAAGCCAAGTACTGCGTGTTCCTGCAGAAGAGTCTCTGCTTACAGTCACCAGAAGCTCAAGGCTGATAAGGTCACCAACTTGGAAGAAATGAGACAACCAATTCTGTGGTTCACATTGTTCGAACATTTATTGCAATTCAGTGTCAAAAAATGTTTTACAAAAATACATTACTGTCTGCACAGAACAGCTGTAAAAATTGGGAGTTGAACATGCAAGGAAAGAAGAAAGTGTGCAAATTTATAATGGAAAGATTTTAACCACACAATAATATTAAACAGAAGTCTTATTATACAAGGGATGCCTTTCACTTCATATCATCTCTAGTTACAACTTTAAGGAAAAGCAAAACAGAACACACAGTCTCTTCCATATATAAGTATGTATTTATAATTACTGTAGATTAGTTCCTAAAGATGAGCATATTTGCTATTTCAAATGAAAATGTTCTCTTGGTAGCTGACCTGTTAGCATTCTGTGCAGCACACGATGGCTAAAGAAATGCAAGTTCCACCCTCGGTTGCCATCCCAGGTGGAAAAGAGGCAATGCTTGGTCAATGGAGGGGGAATCTCTCGGGTGTTCAAGGTATTAATATACTAGAGACTGCGTGTGTCAAGGACAAGATGGATTTGTTCTCCCTAGGGCCAGATCCTGCAAAGCCGATTTGCTACCAACGAAATCATTGGAAGACGTGGGATAGAAATTGGGTGCTGGTAGAGATACTCATGCAGTGCAGCAGTCACACTGACAGCTGTCTGGATGGCTGGCCATGTCTTCGGAGCCTTTAACAAGCATTGCTAAAAGCAGTGAGCCAAAAAAACCAGCACAAGCAGAACATGACAGTCCCAAACCTCGTAACAAGGACTCTTTATCAACCTGATCAACCATCAGCTCCATGGGGTCTATGTTTTTGCAAACAGGCCAGCTAGGAAGAGCAGCATTTTAATTTAAGCTATGTCTTTTTGGCAAGGTGCTGATCTATGGGGAAGCTGTGCAACAGGTTTGTAAGAACAACCCCAAAGGACAACGCTGGTTTGGTGTACTAAGCAGGAGACAAGCACAAAACGGTACGTCTGATTAATTAGCTACATAACAGAATTTGAAATGTTCCTGCTCTAAATCAAATTTTAGCTACTAAGGGCCAAGGAATTTCCTGGGCAGGAAAAGTTTGTTTAGTACCTGTGTATGTTCTAGAAGGTGATAGCTTCACAAGAGCAAATGAAGTCAAACAGAAATGGGAACACAAACAGTTCAAAACCTGAGGGGGGCAAAAGAAAAATAATAAAAAAGATATTCCCATATACAGAAAGTGGCAGGGTGCAATTAAATGTTTACATACAAAGCAATGTCTTCAGAGTAATACAAGTTTTCCTAATCACTTTACAAAATAGGATCTAGAAACTGCCACAATTAAAAAAAGAAAACCAAACAATATAAGAGGAGGTGCACACGTTTTATGATCAAACTTTACCATACCATAATTAGTAAAAATGGCTTAAGGTATGTACAGCTGAAATTGTGCCTCTTGAAGTGGCTATCACATTAAAACAAGCTCTGAATACCTGCCTCTTCTAGAAAGCTAAAACAAGCATCTCTGGGATCTCTCCCTTCCTAATCCTCCTCCCCTGCATGGATCTGTTTTTCCTCTTTACAGCACCATGTTCCACACTGTTGCACTGGTTAACACATCCTCTGAAGATAATGAGATTTCTCTGGATATGCTGGCAGGAGAAAACCCTGAAGAGAGGAAAAAACTTTCCTTTCCTAGTATAAGAACTGATGCACGCCTAATAGGAATGCATCAACTAACTGGAAGGTGAAATGCCATTTGAAAAAGAACATTCTATTTCCAAAATACAAGTAAAAGCCTGTTTTCTCTTCACAACAGCTTTGCCACAGTTGTCCTAAAATAAAAAGGTCCTTTTTGTGTGAGAGCAGCCTTAGAGCATCCTGCCTGGAAGCCCCTGTTATCACGGCTGCTTTTGTTACTCTGTCGTCCTCAGCCAAGCAGATGCCTTTGCATTGCTGAAATACTGATCACTTTGTTTGTAAGGGGTTAGACTAACGTATTTGGATGCAAGAGCCTTTCATTTTAAATACAAAACAAGAGTATTGGATTCACCACAATATCTCCCAGTACCAGCCACTCGAGAAACAATGAGCCTCCCAGAGAGATCAAGGTCTTATTTGACAGTTGCTGCAGCAGGACAGTAATGACCAAGGCAGTAAGTGAATGAGGCTTATTCTGTTTCTTTTTGTTTAGTCTGTTTTGTTCTCCAGTACAGCAGTTGCGTGGTTTTCTGCTGCTTTGGACGCTGACAGCACTATCCCAGGACCCTGCCGGAGCAATACACAAGTGTCTGTATGTATTAACAAATCATCTTCAGCACTTTGACCCTTTCAGATCTACACAGTGCTAAGAAATAAAAAAAAACACTAATTGAAGCAAGTTTTATAAATAAAAGCCTCAGTTGCACATGGTTAAGTTTGTTGTCAGCATGACTCATGCTCTCTGGGCAGAAGACAGAATAAACTCTTTGCTCAAGACCAGCAAAGGGCTGATAGAGGCAATAGCTAGAGCTGAGACATTCCCAAATCGCAGCTGAACACTGGGATTTTTCTGTCTTGCTGTGCAGGGAATGCACTAGGCCGGATTCAAACCCGAGTTTAAAATTCACCCAGTGTCACAATCTCACAGTGGGTAAGCATCATCTGCTAAACACAGACTCGGACTGGGCTGACCTCCCCCCCCCAGCATTTCATACCAATATACTGTTGCCTCCTCATCACAACAGGTGACTCACTGTGGGTGGCAGGGGCAGGACTACAACATAAATTAGCCCCAAGTCAGAGCTGGAAACAGAAGATGCCAAGGGACACGGGTCCTCTTCACTGTTAGAAAAAGGAACTACAAGAATCTCCAAACACAGTGGCAATGCTTCACTCACTTCACTTGCAGGTTCCTGTCCATAATGTCTTCATTCACCGAGCCAGATTTCAGCCTCATCTACCTGCTGCCATCAATGCAGGAGTGAAACCAGAAACTGGCCTACATCACTCACAAACATCCCCCCAAACAAGCACAAGTTCTTTTTTTCCAAGGTAACAGCTTTTAAATCACTTTCAGTTGACATGAATACCATCAGAAGGCTTATGCTTTCCACCACAGCCAAACTGATGGATGGGGCATCAACACCAAGATAAAGCTCCCTATCCTGGACTTGTTTTCTCCTGATCTCTGGAGAGTGCCAAGCTCTCAGCCATGGCTAAGGGTGGCACAGGCTCACATTGCTCTGTGGAAGAGCAAAGCTTGGGTTTGCTGTTGGAAGGCAGGAGAAAGGCAGTTCTTGTCAGCATTTTACTGGTTTTCCTCCCTGCTTCCCCACTCCTCAATCTAGAGGCAGCTTTCTTTCCCTTTTTGCATCTCTTCCAAAGTTATGCAAAGTGATTTAGTTTGCAAAAATGCAAATACTGTCAATTTTTTAAAAAATATAAACAGCTGCAGAAAAGTGTTGAGAGTCAGTTATAAAAATGTAAAAAAAGGAACAGAATATTTAACAATAATTAACTCAAGTAGTTCTTCCTGTATTGTCCTGAGTACTCCTCTTCCTCACAATTCTTTGTACATAGCCACACTCAACCCACTAAATATTTACCCTTCTGAGGCATCCTGCTTACGTCACGCACAGAGAAAGTGCTATCCACTGCAGGTTTTCAAATTGTTACATACGAGTTGGATTCTTCTTGCTCCACTGTAGGGTAAAGTGAAGCGCTGTGTGCAGCGGAGATGGTGAGCCAAATCTTGGGCACGGTGAAGTTAGGAGTTCAGCTACTTACTCCACAGGACTGAAAATTTAGCTCTAGAGTAGTATTAAAAGAGCCCATAAAGGTCAGCACTGGAAGTGGAAAAGACTAGACTGGGTCTTTGCCATGTCTTTGGCACAGAAAAATAACTGAAGATGTCAAGTGCCATGTTGGAAACCCCTTGCTTCCTCCAGTCCTGACCACTGTTTTCAGGAAAATACTGACCTACTTCTTCATGCTGTCTTGCTCATCACCCTAAACTCCAGTAGTCTGAAATTAAACACAATGGTGTCACTCTTCCAGTGACTAAAAACCGCATCATTTCACTATGTTCAACAGCCCAGTTCTCCCTGTATTTTACCAGCTCAAAGATGACTGAATTGACTTGACAGCAGTGGGAATAGAGAACAGTGTATGTGTCAGAAAACTAGGAAAACATGAGCTTGAAGAAGCAGTTCTAACCTCACCTGGGATTTCAACCAGTGCAGTTAACCTAATGGAGTTGATATGAATTTACACCGTGAGATTAAATCCAGTCCATTGTTTCTCTATAATAGAACTTCCTCTCTTTTAGATAATCTTCATCCTTGTGGCTTCTCTTTTCCCATTTGCTTAGTCTTTCATAAACCCAACAAATTAAAAGAGGACGGAGTAAAGTCTTAGGTATTTATATGGTTGCCTATCATCTAGGCATTCAAGCACTGAGCAGAGCAAGAAAACTAATGTAAAGAGGTAAGCATTAATACAAGATAGATGCTTACTATCACAAACATTTCCCTTTAAATCATTGTACAAAATACAAAAGTTCACATTGTACACTGGATTTTTGTTTGAAAGGTACTCAATCTATTAGAGGTAGAAAGTGGTATGGTGCGATTCTCTTTTGCAAGTAGGCTAGAGTTCTATCCTAAGTATTTTAGAATGTGTCCTTTTTAAAAACATAAAAGTATTATTAAACTTGTCACAGGGATATTTTTCATAAATATTTTTAAAACATCATATTTATAAATATGTATGCTAAATAAAACCAGATGGAGAAACAGTTCAACAGTCCTAGCCTCATATTGCTTTCTCTCTATGAGAAACAAGCCAAAACAGTTCTCAAATGGTTAGGGGCAAATTCATTTTTAACTTCTAAAAACAAAAAATGAAGTTTTTTGCCCTGTATCTTGTACTCTGATCATAAAAAAGGGACTCTGTACAACATGCTGCATTTATAAATGCACCAGTCCTATGGAAGTCTGTATTCCATAAGTGCTGCACGTCAGTGAGCAATTTCACCTTTCATCTCCGAGATCCTCTTGTTCCTTGACTCAGGAGCTTCGAACAAACATGAATATTTACACTATTTACAAACGGAGTGTCCAAGCTCAGTGGCATGAAGTGTCCTGTAAGAATTGCGTAAGCTGTGGTGACCCAAGTTCAGAACCTGAACAAGTTGATAAAGTCCTGCGGCGAAAGAGAGGTGGAACAAGTCTCCGGGTTGTTGGCTGTGCAAGGGTGATCAGTACCCTGGGAAAAGAGAAAACAACTCCATTTAGAGAGACTGTGGAAAGGGCGCCAGAGCATCAGCCAACTTAGTGCTGCCCCTCTGCCAGACGTCCCACTTGCAAATAGATAGAGCAGAGCCCAGAATAATATTTCTACTCTCGTCAAAGCAGACAGCTCAGAACTTGGCTTCAGATTTTAGGGGCTACTGGCAAGTCAAGGGAAACAAAACCAGCAGAGACGCAATTCACTCTTTCCCCCTCTTCCAAGGGAAGAGAGGCTAGAGCCTATCATCAGCTACAGGAGTTTAACTCCAGAGACATGCCATGGATATCACCACAGTGGCCAGCAGATTTTTGTCCTGGGCTGTTTTGTAGCCATCAGCTGTTGTTCCAGCTAATCCTGTTGCCAAGACCTCCACCACCATGTAATGGGTAGAAGGAGTTGCTGACAGTGCTAGGATGGTTTACTGCAGGTAGTCCTACAGTAAGTCCATCTCCATCCACTCTGGCCTTGATGGCCACTACTCTGTTCAACATAGAGACAGGATCTCTGACGCACAGATAAGAAAGGCTCTTACTAGTTGAGGGAGGATTAAGACACAGGAAAACACTAGGTTATGCAAATGAACTGAAGCACCCTGAACCAGCTGCAATCAGAGGAAGAACCGAGCGCCCCATAGTGCCCATGGCTCCCGGCCCAGTTGAGTTTGTCCCACCAGCACCTCATACCTTCCAGGAGAGGATGTGGCAGTGCCTGCACAGCTGCAGTGTGTCACCATACTGCTCCTTCCGTGGGTAACACCTTATGAGCTTGAAGTACATCTTTTTCCAATCCAGCTGTCCCTTGTCAGATAAGATCAGCCGTTTGCGAATCTTAAAGAAAAAATTATCAAAACTGTAGCAGGTCAAATAACGTGTTTTTTTTTTTCTCTTCAACTCATATTGCTCTCCTCTCCCTTGCATAAGTGTCCACACTTTGCCAGTCCCACAACAGTTCCCTTGTAACACCAAGAAAACTCCTGCTCTGAATGTCTAGCTATAACCAGCTTCCTGATGGCAACAGCCTCACCCAATACCATTATTGAGGTCTATCTCCATTTCATGAACATTACTCTATGAAAGCCTGAAGCCCTGGGAGCTATTTCATACTACTTTAGCCACTATTTCTGGCTGGCAGGACAGCAAGTATAATTGCATTAACAATTCCAGAAGTTAAAGTATTTTGCTTTTTCATTGACTCTGAGTCAGTGATTTGTCACATTAGCTTTGGAGTCACCTGGGTCTTTTAGGGCTCATTAGTTGCACAGACTGGATTTGAATGTACTTGTTAATAGAAGTAACTTCCCCAGAGTCACTTCCAAAGTCAGATCCAGAGTGAGCAAATAAAGCCAAATCAGCAGAGAAAACTGGCACATGGTCCCTAAAGTGCAGAGGTCTAGTATAAACACCCCAGGTATCCACCCATAAACAGAGAAAGGGATTTTTTTGTTTTTAAGTTTAGAAGACCCTAGATGATTACCAGCCTGCAAAAGGCCAAAGATGTTTACCCAGGTACAACATGGGTAGCAGCAGGGCTCCTTTCCCCATACTGTCCCGTCACTCATGGAACAGCTCAGAGGGGATTTCTTGCTCTAAAGGGCAAGAGAGTACGACTCATTGCTCATGGACCACGTCCACAGAGACTCTCTGTGAGAATGTCAGTCCCTGGGTGATTGCTGGAGCTTGCCTACACGTTTTCGCCACACACATGGGGTGAGGAGCAACTGCATGACTTGCAGTTGTTACCACCTGGATTAGGGTTGAAGTAGTTCACTGTATGACTAATTCCTCAGGCTCCTATTTCACGAATCATTGCTGTGGCACGCAAAACCCTCTACATAAATCATCTTCGTGGCCATTCTCATGCCAGCCTGTATTATTGGCTTTTTTGGAACAGCCCTTAGATCCAAGAGACGGTTAAGTAAGAGTGTCCTACCCATGTGTGTTTGCTTGCTAACGGGTTACAACAAGCAACTAATGGCAGTTTGCATCCCCCTTCTTGTACCTGTCTGTCCGTAAAGTGGTACTGGCAGAGTTTCTTCCACAGCAGCCGGTCTTCACTGAGCACTTGCAGATCGGGAGCCACTTGGCCAAGGCTAACGAGGTCTCTCCCGTCACTCAGTCGCTGCATGATGTTCAATTGTAAACACAACGGCAGGTCTGTCAAAGTGGTTCCTTTAAAGGGAGGCTGGAAGAGACAGACAAAATTGAGCTCACAGGAAGCTGAAAACACAAGCAATTTAGCCTGCAGTAGTTACTGCTTTTTAAGCATTGCTCTTCACATAGCGAATAAGCAGCAGTTCCCTCTTCTCAGTAAGGAGACGTTTTACACAGGGACATTTGACCACCTGCCTCAGAATAGTCTGAGATATCCTGAAGGAAGGGGACATGCATTTGTATTACAGTACTTAGATGCAGAGTTACAGTCCAAGTCTCCTTCTCCTCATCTTGTCCATCCCATGTCCATATTCATGAGACTCTGCTGCCAGAAGCAGCATCACCAGCTTTCACGACAGTAGGTCATCAGCTACAGCATGGTATCAGCTATAAACCATCCAGGTGTCTCCACCACGAGGGATGCTGGCATTACTTCTGAAGTTCAGCCTCCTGTTACATGCATTGCAAGGAATCTCATGCTCTTCTGATGCGTTTTAGCTTATGTCATCAGAGGATCCTACTGTAACCACAGCAGTGGCTGATGAGTACCCACAGCAGTATTTTTCCCTGCATAGCTTCCCAAGTCACTGCTGGCAAAGCCAACACTTCCTCTGTGAACACTTGAAGAACCTGCCCCTTTCCTATCATCTGCAGCCATGGTTTTCCACGCTGTTCAGCCACACCAAAGCATATCCTAGCTTAAAGAGTCAAAAGCCACCTTCAACCAGCATACACAGGGTCCAGGGCTGTTCTGCAAGTCCGCATAGCAGCACAGCTCCAGCACAAATCAACCATGATGGATGAGCAAGCCCTGCACTCGGGGGAAATCCAAGGCACACATGGGAGCAAGGCATCAGCAAGGACACAACCCGGGCTCTGGCTGCTCCAAAAGCAGCCCCAGCCTTATTAAGGCAAACAGCAGCTTTTAGGATTGGGCCTCAACAAAGAAACAATGTTAGACAGATGTGCCAAGTTTATCATTTACCCTGCACAGAGATGCTGCTATTTTAAGTTGCAGAGTCACAGCACCCGTCTCACAATTGGCAGAGCTATTAACCCATTTCAAACAAGAAGCACGTGGACCACCATCAGCAGGGGCACACTGCATGAGGTCCCATCTCCAGCCATCCCATTGCATGTGAAACTCCATGGGGCACAAGGAGTATGTCTGGACACAAAGAGCTCCCACCTTCCCTTAAGTGCCCCAGTGACCAGCCTGCCTGGACCATGCAGCACTGCCTGGTACCTGCAAGGACCACAGTTTTGGCTATCTCCACCAGCAAGACAAGCCTGAAAACCCCTCCAGGAGTGGACTATCTCTGCTATCTCCAGAGGACATTTCTTCCCATGACAGCTTGCATGCTGAGAGTTAAGCTGTAAGTGCACTGCCTGGTTACATGTAGATGCTTCCTTGGTACAATCCACAAGTCCAGACTCAGCATCCCTACCCACCAGTGCAAACTGAGGTCATATTTTGGGGTATGAAGAATGCACTGGAGCCTTGGATCACCTCCTGTTGATCTCCCTTGCCAGCCTGCCTTTTGCATTCTTCTGCACTCTCTCTACGTATAAGCTTTGCTACACCACAAGAATCAGGACTAAGCTCAGAGGCTCTTGGGTCAAAAAAAACCCCAAAGCTCTTATTTCTGAAGAAATCAGTGTGAGTCAAGCAAATCCTCACAGGTTTTCTGAGTCAGGGCCAAAGACTTATCTGCTGCTAATTTTCCCTCAGTTCTCCTTCCCAGGACTTTTCAAACATTACTTTTTTTGGAGAAAGAACACAGATTAGATCAGATCAGTATGCTGTCACTTTCTGGACAGAGCTTTTTTTAAAGCAGCTCTAGCACACAAAATATTTTGCAAGTTATATTTTTTGTTAAAAAAGGTTTAGGTCTTGGCTGTTGCAAGACATTCCACCCCTCCAGAAACACCAGAAGCACTCAGCACGCTGCAAGCTGCAGAGCTGAGCTTGTTCTTCCTTCCTCTAAACTCAGCTGGTTTTATTCTAGCTTGAGCTGAAGTCATCTTCAGTGGTGTCAATTTTTTTTTTTTGCAAGCTCAGTATCTATTTTATTTATCTTGGAAAAGTGTTTGTAAACCTACACATAAGTAAGTATACATAAAAGGCAGTTCCACTCACAAGCAGTATTTTGATGCACTTTTGTCTGGATAGGCAGAATTCTTTGAAATGCTTATCTGTGTTTGAGTCCGTAAAGCAGATGGAAGAACCCACATTTAACTACTGAGTTGAGCAGCAGGAGGTAGGTCCTGACATGTGGTGCACTCAGGGCAGCATATGCCCAGGTGGAGCTGACCCAGGCAGCACCCAGGCACAGGGCAGCTCCCTAGCCTGCAGACCTGCTGTGCCTTGGGTGAGCCACCCAACAGGTAGGCCACTGCTTCCCATGCAAGGCAAAGGAAGCTGCAGCCCATCCTGAGAGCTGGAAACCAGGAGGGACAGCAGAGGTGGGACAGAGACCACCATCAGTTAAAGCACTGCTGCTTTTGCAGCTCTTCAAACTCCATAGAACCTCCCAGAGTTCATAGTCTCCTGTGTTCTGCTGCCTGCATTACTTTTAACTGAAGGACTGGACATTGTTTCCTGGTGTTCCCAGAGAACACAGTCGTGTAAAATGATGAAAGCAGGTCCTTTGCTTAATCCTTTGCAAATGCCTCTCTGGTTGACCCGTCAGGGAAAAAGACACTTTTAGTATTCCCTTAGGCCATGTCGTGGTCTGCCCAAGTGGGAATTTTCTGCAGTGAACTGGACTGTGAAAGTCCTACAAGGGGCACACCAACACAGAGGTCAGCACTCGGAAAGCTTTAACATTTCTGTGGAGTAAGTATCCATTCTAGGTGGGGGAAAAAAAAAAGTCTAGACACAGTCCTGGGCAACTGGTTGTAGGCGTCTCTGCGTGAGCAGCAGGGTTGGACCAGATGACCTCCAGAGGTCCTTTCCAACCTCAATCCTTCTGTGATTCTGTGAAGTGGAGCAAAATCAGATTTGATTCCCATGCAAAGCCAGGTTAGGAATTTATCAGCTAATACATCTTTCCCTTCTCATCCCCACAAACGCTGCTGAAAAACAGATGTTGTGAAAGCAGGACTCGTCTGGCTGGAACGGGCAGCTCCAGACTACTGGAAGAATCATTGATATTTTCAGCCAGGAAGCATGAAGTTATGCAGCTATTTGGAAATTTGCATTTAATTTACAGATTAAACAAATCTAAAACCCTCAACTACCTGATAAACAAGTTTTGAAGGCAATTTCTCATCTTGAGAAAGACCAAGCTGACTTTTCATACTAAGGCCTAATCTCTGAAGACTCTCAAGAGAGGGAGATGGTTTCCTGCCCAGCTCTGTTTGCACAACACTTCATGGCCATTAAGGAGTCAAGCCACAGTCTGTGATCAGTAATAGCAAGCATGATCCTGGGTTGTGTACACTGAGTTTGAATTAAGGGACACAAGTAATGTTAGGAATGCATCCAGTTATTTTGGCCACTCCAGGTGCTTCCCCAGCACTCTGTGCTTGCACTGGGAGCACAGTGAGATGCAGTCAACCAAATGAGAGCTGCTACATGAGGTTTAATAAAACAGCCACTTCATTTTTAGCTCTCAGGATTTGTGCTTACCCTGGTGATCTGAATGTTGTTCAGTTGCTGCTGCCAGTGGAGAATACTCTCCATCCTGTGCACCCACATGTTGATGTTTCCAACCAGGACAGACTTGCCAACTCGTTGAACCAACGTGCAAAGGGATGTGTAGAGGGTCTGCAGCAATTCCCGTATTAGCCTGATGTTCTGCTGATCTTCGAGGACTTTGGAGGAACAGAAAAGGTTAAAAACGGGAACTGTCCAAATCCTTTTTTGAATCTACGTTTCTCAGGCAAGTCAAGTTACCTGCTATATCCTCACAGGCCAAGAGAGCCAACCTGCACTTTTCTTTTCAGAGGTAAGCACTTAAACATTAGCCAGGTACAGCAGGTTAGACAGCAGATAGAAAGAGATCCTCCCAGGATAAGCAGATGAGATATCTGCCCTTTCTGCAGCACTTCCCATTGCCAGCCACCAGCAACTAGCCAGCTACCCACTCCGATACATGCAAAATGTTATCTACGTGCACCTCTTCATCCACCCCAGCTGAAGTGCAGGGAGACAGCTCAGGATCTCCTTTCTCATTATCTATACACGCACTGACAGGGGCACTCTCAATTCCCAGACTTCAGAGGTAAAGCATCAGGGAGGGAAGTGGCACATCTCAACCACAACTCAGCCCCCTCAGCAGGTGAAGACAACCTTCGAGCTTTCCTTTCCTCTGGAGCAGTGGGAGCACTTGATAAAGCAAACCAGCAACAAGGCAGCAGCAGAGACTGCAGATGTGCCAGGCTGGGGGCAGGAGCAGCCATCTCTTCTGCAGTCAGAAATAGGACTCAGTAGGATGCAGAAGGGGTGGTAGCAAGGAAACTTGGAGAAGGAGGGATCACCTCTCAGATACCTACCAGAATACAGACATTTCTTCCCACTTTCCCCCTACACTGTCCTTCACCAAGGGAAAGGAAAGTGGAACCATGCTACAGAAATAAGCACTGGTGCCCCTTTTCACCGGTCTTCCATTGCCTGACTATTAGAGGATGTGGTTCACACCAAGCACGCCAGATTAAATCAGACTCCTCCTCCTCACCCTCACTGTTTCCATTTCTTACCTTTCTGCACCACTTTTTCCAAAATGTTCATGTAGTTTTTCTGGGCAATGCCACTCAGTGACGTCAGCTGAGACTTTGCTATCAGCTCCAACAGCTGTGGATAAAAATAGAAGTTGCAAGCCTTAGAGCACAGAGATACCTTTCTAATCTTGACTCCTAGTCACATGACACAGCAAAACAGTCCAGAGACTTGTTTGCTGCTCGAAAATAAAAGGGAGACAGAACAACAGAGCAAACTAATGCAAAGGGGGAGGAGAGCAGAGGCCAAATAATTAAACCCACATTGAAAGAGGTGGGGGATGGGGGGGAGAAGAGGCATTCTAATGATCTTCAGGAGGAAAAAAACCCCTTGATTTCATGGTTCAGAGACGCAGAGAAACCACAGAGCAGTGCTCAGACTGACAGCCTCTATTCACACCGAGGGAACAACGCACAGCCGACATCACCGTCCTTCACTGGGGCATAAACAAGCAGTGTCATAAGGGAACACGAGCAAATGCCTGTTTGGATGAGGATATTATTGACGGGGCATTAATGAGAATCAGACTCCGCAATTTACGTCAAACTCCTGGGTTGCATGGGTTTTGTCAGAGTGCTGTCACCACAACAGAAAGGTTAAGTACTATATTGAAAACAAACCCTCCCCCCCCAACCTCTGTTCCCCCAAGGTTTCCTTCTCTCTGTTCAGCTCTCACAGCTGCAGCACCTCCAAACCAACCTCTCCCTGTTTGTCCTGTTCACTTAACTTCCCCTAATGAAAATCCCGCTTTTACTTTTGATTAGGATTTGCTTCCCATCACCAATCTCCTGACTCACATACAAGCCCAATGCTGAATTTGGGCTACAGTTGCTAAAGGAAGGATTTCCCACAGGGAAGATGCCCTCTCCTCCCCGGCTCTCTACCACCATAAGAACAGCTGTGGAAGTTTCCTGTGGATCATGCTCTGCAGAACATGTGGCCTGTGATCTTCCAAGCCTTCCTCCCTTCCCCCAGCATTATATAAATACACAGACTGTCCACGTGTCAGTCCATTTGTTTTGGATGTACATAGCCTTCTGTTTTAATTTAGAAAGGAAGGGAAAAACCTTTTATGCTACAAATCAATCAACATGTTACCGCATGACTAGCTTATTAATCCGTTATCATCTGCAGCTACGGTATCCTGTTGCTGGCACCGCAGAGAGCTTGGAGAAGGTGCAACTACTTGTGTCAAGTAACTAAGATGGCTTTTGACAAGACTTGATAAGTCATGAGCTGAACTGCTTGCCCTGCTATGACTGGAATGTATCCAAAAAGTCACCAGCAGCTTGCCAGGAAGCGGGGAGCTCAGGGAGAGGCATTACTGCACTCGTTCGCCTGCTCCGCTCCTCTCCGGTGCTGGCATGTGACTGTCAGGTCAGAGCAGTAAAGTTGCCTAAAGCAACCGATCTCTTCTTCCGTTTAATTTCCAGGCCAACACCATCATCAGGTGGCTTTGAGTTTACATTCTATTAATATCTTGCACCTCGCATGACTGAAAGAAAACAAGATGAAAAAAGACCTGCACTAACTCCTGTGAAGGGCAGGCTGCCTGTTTTCTTGGCTGATTTGGGGGAAACAAGAGATGCAGGAGAGTTGGGTAATATTTGGTGCACAGGCATCAGGGGATCTTCTTGGTACATCAGCTAAACTGAGACCACAATGGCTAGATACTCTTAAAAACAAGGCAGTTTGCAAGATGTTTCAGAAGACAAGGACTTTTCATTTTTTGAAATATTGGAGGAATCAGTAGGAAAAAAAAAATCAGTATCCCCAGGTAGTCTTTAATAGTCTGTTTATGCTGAACTATTCAGCCTTCAGACCTTTGATTATAGCGATCGAATTGCCAGACTCCATCTGTACATTAGCCACACATGCACCTCAATCAGCTCTTCCACACATGAACAACTGTTGTCTCCAGATTGCACCATTCTGGAACTGGCACAGAGACAGCTTCCTCCAGGCTGGGCGTTTGCAATGTTGTTCCCATTACTGAAAACGCCAAAATTCACCCAGTGATAAGCATCATGTAATGCAGTACCGTAAGAGCTAGACACCAAGCCTGTTCTTTAAGAGGAACAAGGATAAAAATCTCAGTTTCTTGAAGAATGCTAAATTGGTACAAAATTAACTTAGCCAAAGGAACAGATTTGAATTTGCCTTGTCTGTGTTTACCAAGGTTCAATTTGTGTTCAGTGAACCAGCTCAGATATCATGTGTCACCTCCCTTCCCCTGCAGCAATAAACACAGGATGAAATTCCATATGAAAACTATTTTCCATATGAAAATTCCATATGAAAACTATGTTGTGAACACTTCTAGGACTACTCTGCTCCCCAGGGACCACTGGCTAAAATGACTGGCTAGCCCTCCAAACCAAAAGACATTTTTTTCTTCTTCTATGCTCATATAATACACAGAAACCAGCTAAGCAATACCATTCCTCCATGCCCCACATGCTCCAGTGTATTGAAGGTATTTTAGTGTTGGCACAGACCCAGCAGAGTAGGGTCTCTGTTAATGGACTGACAAATTGGGGTCTACAACATTATAAAAAAATAAATCAATGTTGCCACTTGCGTAATACAGAGTAAAAGTAGACCGATGGATTCAGATTAATGCTGAGTAGGGTAGAAGGCTGGAGAGCTGCAAGCGTGTGTTATGATGCAGTTGCATTAAGTCCAGCCCACGCACAACTGAGAGGGACAGATGGTAGGAGACAGTGTGCGGGGAAAGGTTAAGAGCAATTTTAAAAGGTCTGCTTTTCAAAAACACTAAGTGATTGCATTCCAGCCGATTTTAACTGGAGCTAGGAAGTCTGCATCACCTCCAGAAAACAGGGCATTAGATCCCAACTCACTCTTTCAGCTCCTCAGAAGTTGAAAAAGGTGACCTGGTAGCTTCCCCAGAAAATCCTTCCTAGTGCCTTGCCCCTATTTTGTTTGCTCTCAGGGGTCTGCAAGAGCCACAGAAAAAAGGCAAGAGATGCAGTGGGCTATTCCAGGGCCTCTCCAAAGCTGGCAGGAGGCAGTGTCTTCCACAGCAGGGCAATAACCTGCTCTCTTGCCCACAAACGCGATGGAGATCCTGCTCAAACCTCACTAGCAGTCAGTCTAAAGCAGTTGGTGCAATGAGCCTCTTTGCTCTGAGAGCAGAGCAAGTCCTCCTCCCATAAGCACAAGGAAAAAAGCCAACAAAACAGTGCCATGTGGCAGGGAACAAGGGCCCCTGTTTCAGGGCCACGAAATCATGCTGCCCTGCACCCGTGACCACTGTGCACAGCATTGCTTAGACCTGCTACAGCCACATGGCACTTCTGCCACTGTCTTGGCTCAACTCCGGGGTGTGCGGGCAATCCATATCCCAAATAACCCACAGCTAGGGGCTTACAGCACACGGAGCCAACAAGTCCTCAGCAGGCCTGCTGCACCGAGCAGGAAGGTATAGCCATACCTCAAAAAGGGAAATGCTTTGTAAAGATTGAAATCACAAGTCTCAAACTACTTAAGTGTAAATCCCCCTTTGAACACCCCAAACCAGCTACAGGGACGTTGGTCTGCACCTTGCGGGGATCTTCAACTCCTCTTGATTGGGGATACGGCTCCTCACATCCAGACTGGTTAGAGAAACATATTGCAATGAAAAATTTCTCCTCCAGCTCCCCTTTGCTCTCACAGCCCTTCACTTTCTGTAGCTGAAATGTCACGTTGGCTTTCAGCTGGGAGGTAGAGCAAGAGCAAGGCGAGTTATAATGATTTACAGCACAGGTGCTGACAGATCTCCAGGAGACAGCACCGAGCCGATATTCTTTCAGTACAGCATAAATCCAGGACTCTCAGGGCTAAAAGCTATAAAAACTTAAGAAACAAATTTAAGAGACTACTTTAGCAGGCTGCACACTATGTAGATCATGTTGTTCCAGAAGAGCTGTGCCCACGTAGCTTAACCTGACCTAAGCTTTTATGATCAGAAACCACTTTCCCTTGAGACATTACTACACAACCATCATATGACAAATCTTTCAGAAGGAAGCAGCCTGCAAAATCTCACCATCATCTGAACAGAGCGTTCCCTGAGGAGAACCAACAACTCCTGGGCTGCAGGCACTTTTGTCTCTGCTCATATTACTTATGCTTACAGAACACTTCCAGCCTTTCCATTAAGTGTGTAAGACCACAGAAACCAGGACTGCTTCAAGACCAAGAACAGTTTTGGTCCTCTGGGTCCATCACACAATTCCTTACTAGCTCTAAAAAGGGAACATGGTCCTGTAACATGTAGACAGATGCTATAGTTTAAAAGATCAGCAAGGACCAAGTCATGGCACCAATACCTATACTTAGCACTTCCAGTGCCATATCAGCAGACTGTCAAGACAAGATTGATGTTGGAGGAAAATTTCTTCCGCTTCAGTGACATGAACTCACTGGCTAAAGCCGATGGTATTTGCCTATGAAAAATACCTGCCAAGCTTCTTCCAGCTCACACCACCACGTCACATCAGTCACCATTAGGAACTCCAAGAACTTAGTGCGAGTATATCTTAGGAAGTATATATATACACTTAGTGCGAGTATATCTTAGAAAGCAGACACTTCTGTACAACAAAAAATCAGCACTGAAAACACTTAAGTTCAGAGTCATTCAGAAAGGAACACTCTGAGAAAGGCAAGTTGATGTTCAGCCTGAAAGCCCATTTTGCCATCAGCAGTGATGTCACAGATTTCTCTATAGGACAAGTTTGGGTGTAGCCAGCAGAATCCCCAGCCTGCAGCTACTTCTTTCCTTTCTTCCCCTACAGACATCCTCATGTTCTCCCCCAGTCTTCAACTCTAAACTTCCCTCCTTGGAAAGCATTTGTTTTATGAACTAAGTAGTGTGACATTAATCAGATACCCTGAGCAATGGGTGGAACTAGAGAGAACAAGGAGAGGATAGGAAAGGAAAAATGTTTTGCCTGCCAATGTTCAAGGCATTTTCCATGTGACAGATTGCTCATCTGTGTGCTCTAGGAGGCCTGCGATTTGCAAAGGACCATAAACAAGATCCACATCTAGGCAGAGCTTTTCATGAGTAAATCTGGCACATAAGGCATTTTATGAGCTACTATCCACCAGAGACTTGGCCGATATAAGCCTTTCATTTTAAGAAGTCAGTTTTATATTTGATCCATAGTACCAGGTTTAATATCTTCTTTAATCTGCCAAACCACAAGTCAGCCTCAATTAGAAAGCTTCATACTTCTCAGCAGTGCCGTAACCTTAAAAGTACCGGGGGGAAAACTACTCTTAAGAGCTCAGAAGAGAGGTAATTTGTTGAAACAAGGACACATGCCGACTTCCATACGCAACACCGCTGTTTTGGATACCTGGCAGATCTGGGATGCATTTATTTATGAAGTCCTCATGGGAAAAAGGAGGAAGAAGGTCAGCCTGAGCCTCCCCACTAGACCACACCAACTTCACTGAAATTTGAGTTTGCTCTTCAAACAATTTAATGAGACTTCTGCTCGATCCTTGCAGTCCCATGCAAGACACCCATCGCATTGGGCTGAGCCGCAGCAGCCCATCACATGGCACAGCATGACCTGAGGCCATGCTTAGTAGAGGTCTTTGGAGTTCTTCATTGTCATAAGACAGAAAGTCTGCCAAAGGGATCTCTGGAGCATCAAATACAAGTTTTATTTTCTTCCTTTGTATTTGACTAAAGCGTTATAGCCTTGGCATGAACTGTTCCTTCCACAATAATTCCCCTGAAGATGACATGGCTGCGTGTATATGTATCCAGTATCAGAAAACACCAAGTACCTCAGCACTGGTGATCACCACCTCTGCACAAGCAGGAAAACAAGTTGTCTTGGGACCAGCAAAGCTAGGACAGCCTGAGTTTCCATGGAATTGTATCCCACTTCGCCCCTCCCAGCATTCCCACTCCCTGCTACCACTCCTCCAGTGGGACATCCAAGTGATCACCAGTGCCCTTCCTGCACAGCATGTAGGTAATCACCCCCAATGCCCGTACCCTTCCCAAGGTGACAGGTTTTCACAGGCTCCTTGTCACCTAGAAAACAGGTGAAACAAACCAAGGCGAACTTGCTCAGATCATTTCTTCCTTAGAAACTTTTCATGACATTTGACTCAGCAAAGGGAAAGCAATACCAATGCTGCTTGGTCCAGAACCTAAAACCTGAACAGCTGATGCCTCACCAGTGATCAACTGCTGATGAAGTGTGAAAAGGAGCTGTTTATAAGCAGCCTCAAGTTAATAACAGATTTTTTTTAAAGCTTATTGAATTCTAAACCTCGATAAACATTCTGAAATTCAAGATCAATTTGCAGATCACATGCACATAAACATACAGCCCTCAGGACAGCAGCTCCCCCAACTGCTACCACCTGCCTTGGCCACCTCAAGCCAAAAGAGAAGCCTGGATCTGTTATGCAAAGCCAGAGCATAGAGAACCTGGGGCTGATGGCTCCTTCCTACCAATTAATGGTGTCAGGACTAATCAAATGCTTAACCCACTAAAACTGCTGCCAGTCACACAGGATTAAAAGCAACCATGATCCTTAACAGAGAAGTTAAGATCAATGCCTCCAAGAGGTTCAGCCCATCCTCTCATTCCCAAAATGCTCAGCTCCTCAGAATCTCTCCTGTATCACTTTGAAGGAGACAAAGCTCCACAGCCCTCATGGAGCTGGAGCCTCCTGTGCAAAGAGGACCCCACTGTTCTACGGCCTTTGCAGAGAATCATAGAATGGTTAGGGTTGGAAGGGACCTCAAAGATCATCTAGCTCCAACTCTCCTGCCACGGGCAGGGAAATTCTCCACTACACCAGGTAACCCAAAACCTCATCCAACTTGGCCTTGAACACTTCCAGGGATGGGGCACCTACAACTTCTCTGGGTAACCTGTTCCAGTGCCTCACCACCCTCTGAGTGAAAAATTTCTTCCTTATATCTAATCTAAATCTACCCTCTTTCAGTTTAAAGCCATTGCCCCTTGTTCTATCTCCTTCTCCTATCAGAGAGCCCATGCTGCTTTTGGGGCTACAGGAATCACATTTAGAAGTTGAACTGAGAACTCAGGAGTTAGAAGCTACGTTTTCTGGCTTTCAGAAGTGAACTTCACAACTGAAAAGTAGTAGGAATGATAGGCTAAGGACAGCCCATCTTCTATATTACCACCACCTCCCTCCCTCTACATTTTAACAAATTGAAGAGGATGTTTTTGGCATCTATCCACGCATTTTGCATCAATTACTTCATGCAGCAAAGCCCAACACCCCCACTTGCGTGCTTGGACCTCTCATCTTTACCAGTGCTTCCCATCACCCAGCTGCTGCTTATTTCAGACCCTCCACCACCATCACAGCAAAACAAACCCTGGCTTTTCACTCACCCTCACGACATAGTTGAATCGCCTGGAGTCCAGGATAGCACTGGAAAAGTCAAGTCGGTTGAAGGCTTCTCCCAAGGTACAGTAACCATGGCGCTGAGAAGAAAAAACAGTCTGCGTCATGTTTTGGCAGACATGAGTCCAGACAGCACCAGAAAGACATGACCCAGGGCAACTTGATTTAGCAAGCTAATGGGTGCAAACCATGGGATCAGCTCATGGTGAGAGGAGGCAGGCCTGTCTCCTGCAGAGCCATGCTGATTGACATCAGGAGTGGGCATGGCCCAATGTAGATTACAGTAGTTTCCCAAAAATGACCCGAGCTCTGCTCATGACCCATGAATTTACGGGTGAGAATGAGCCACATATTCCCAGGGTTCAATATATAGCACGAGTTGAGAGCCGTCTTGTACGGCTGCTTCTCTCTCCGAGTGCAAGCGAGCCGTTGTGACGAATTCCAATGATTTTCCATGTTAGGGCTGTACTGGGTGAAAGCCAGGAACAGTATTATGGCTTGGTCTGCAAATGGCTGTGTTGTTTTTTTTTTAACTGAGGAAAGCAAACAAGTCGTATTTTAAACACATGCACAGCCTTGTACAGCAAGCCTTGGCTCCCTGATTGGGGCTTAAAATCATTACTGAAATTCCAACCACAAGCCAGATCTTCCACTTATCTTTTAAGAGCTTCTGCTGATTTATATCAGCACAGGATCTTCCACCACTTGAGAAAACAGTAGAAAAGGGAACAAAGAACCTACAGAGGCACTCACCTCTTTTGTGCTCCCCTTGTGAACATAGATCCACTTCTCTTGGTGGAAATCTGTTTGGACAAAGACATTTTGCTCAGTTAATCTTCCACCTCAGAGGGATAGATCTGTTCTGCTCACAACACTTACTGCCCTTTTACGGCAAAGGAAGGTTATTTTGTGATTACACCACCACACTTGAAACCAAAGCTAGCGACTTGCTAAGCTGCTCTGTTTCCATATTGCTTCATTTGATACTGCGGCCCTGAGCCTTGGAAAGGGCTTCTGTTTCAGTGACGCAGCTCAAGACTGTAAATGTTTAATCTGCCAGCCTCAGATATAGCATAGTATCTCCTCTTCTTTGGTCCCAGACAGTGAGTGTGGCTGACAGCCAGGTTTTGTTGTTATTGATTTTATTAACTATTCATTACCTTGGTTACAGGCTTGGGATTGAATGTCAAATTCGAAGTTAAGCAAAAATGTCATGAGATGCCAGGCATGTGGGAGCAAGCTCTTAGCAGTGAGGTCAGGCTCAGAGGAGCATGCTTGTGCTTGCAGCTAACTTGCTAAAAAAGAAAAACCTATTTGGGACCAAAATTTTCCTATTTCTAATTACCCCTCCCTTCCCTCAGAAATGGGAGCTGTCCCATCCACTCCCCAAATAGCTTCCCTGTACCCACCACATGCTGCTAACTCAGTTTGCAAGAGTCCTTACTGTAATAGCAGTTACACTGCTCAACCCTTGTCCCACCCCATTCTCACATGCGCTTCTGACCATTCTTCCTCCTCACACTGGCAATTCAACAGCTAGTGTGAGTAAGAAAAATTCTTCTCTCCATCCTGCTAGACTCCTTTGCTTAAAGGAAATATTATGCTCCTGGAGTCTTTTTCCACTGCAGGATGCAGCAAGGTACTCCTGCCTGGTCCTGTGAGCCTAAGGACAAACCCAGTCTTAGTTACAGGCATGCAGACACAGCATCAGGCCCTTTTAAATAGTAGGTCACAGCAGAATCCAGCCAAAAACTGTCATGGTAACATTTGTTTGTTCAGAGAACCAAACACACAGAGGGGCCAGATTTTGGCATCAGTTTCTGAAATCCTGGGGGATGCACAATGAGCTAATAGTAGTGTGGGAATTGTAACTCATTTCCTCTGTGTATGTTTACATTTGTAGCCTTCACATCTAATTCCCATACCTATCTTGCCATCAGACCAACATAGACCTTGCTGTCCCTGGCAGGCTCCCCTGAGTCCTCCCACGGTGTGCCATCTGAGACCCCAGCTCCTTGCTGTGCGTAGAGCAAGATTTCAAACCTTGCATTGTTTTCACGGAGCTGAAATCTTATTTCATTTTTCTTGCACTCCACACACAGAGATAGGATCAAAGCTCACATTCAGGCTCGTAGCCTCCAGTAATGTAGATTAGTACTCAACATGCATATGGAAGGAAGAATAAATTTAGCCTGTTGTGCAGAAGGAAGTCTACAGGGGGAAAAAACCTGGAACTGGTTCATTTGAATGTACCATAGGAAAAAATTACCCTTCTGACAAACACAAATGACAAAAATTTGAACACAAGCACAACTCCTCAGAGCAGGGATTACTAATGGGGGCATAAATCTTCATATTAAACTGTATCCAAGTTCTCTTAGGTCAAACATGGGCGCAAAGCCCTCTGAGACACTCTGGAAGACTCTTCATGCACTGCACAAAAAACAGATATGAAGCATTTTCCATTCTCCTGCAGCAGCTTTTATTGTAAAAAAAGGCCAAATGGACATCTTACATTGAGTCTTGGCTTTGTTATTCAGCAGGTCTTTTTTTCTCTTCTTGGCAGCAACATCATAGTTCAGACTGTTGAAGAGATTCTCTTTGTTGTGATCATCTTTTTTACAAAAGCTGTGAATGACAAAGCAAGGATTCTGTTTATTTCTGCAGTCTGCTGAACACTGTTTCCTGCAAGGAGAGAAAATACACAGGTTTTCATTGTGAGCTCCAAAGCTGCCTCCTTGCAGGCTGCTCTCGAGTCTGCAGGCAGTTTTTGCATCCAGTAATAGTATTTTTAAATGAGCCTCTGGTGCTTCATTTCTGTACTAGTTAAGGCAGGAGCAGGTAACACAGACTGCACAGTTAGCACTGGGACACTGCTGGGCAGTGTTCTTATCCTCCCTTTAACCTGTTTCCATCTAAGTAACATCATATCCTCCTACTGTACATGGTAGATTGCTCTAAGCCTGTCAGACTTCTATGGAAGGACGTATTTAGACATCTCTGAGGACATATACATGCACTCAAAATATTTATTAACAAAAGAGTCCCTACAAAACATTCTTTCAAGCTTACAGGAAAAGCTCAGCTGAGGGTCAGACTTGGCTGGTGGTTTTCCAAATCCCACATAGTAGTGACTGTACAAATTAACAGCTAGGATCTCTCATCCAAGAGTGCCCATCTTCTGCTTTTGCTGAAGCTATGCTGTAAGTATAATATTAGTGAAGGGAGCTATAACCCCTTATTTTCTTTGAGGGCAATGAAAGACTATAGAGGCTGTGCATCAACATCTCCACATTCTGCAGACCTGCAAATCAGTAGATTCAAGCAGCAATGTAAAACTGAGAAGTCCCTGGGCAGCCACAGCACAGATCCCTGGGGTAGCAGGGGAAGGCAGCACCCACCAGGAGCTCTCAGCAAGGCTGCCCTGCACACAGCATGCTGCCCAGAGCTGTGGGGACACCTGGAAGGTACTGGGAAGAAGACAGGCAATGTATCCAGGAGAACAAAAGAGGGCCACTCCCACAGCTCTAGCAGCTCACAAGGGATGGGAAATGGCTGTCTGCAGGTCTAAATTCAAAGAAGGGTCCCAGGCACCTCGCTGCACATCTCAGCTGCTGTGTCAGTGCTGGTCTGGGTCACCCCCAGAGCTCTGGCAGGTGCTGAAGCATGCTGCTGCTCACAGTGCTGGGCAAGCTTCCTCTGCAACAGCCACAAGGACCCTTACGCAGCCAGGCTGATTCCTCCACAGACCTTGTGTTTACACTGTTTAGCCTCAAAAAAAAGAATGCAAACAACATACCAACTCACACCTCCACCAGCTATTCTGCACAGGCTTCTGCAGAGGAATGAAACCTGTGGGATGAGGCTCCTTGTTTCCCCTCACTGATAACCAGGATCACCAGCCCAGGCCCACAGCCAGGACAGGAAGGTCGTCTGGCTGTCAGCACCACCACACCACCAGCACGCACAGAAGTCATGTGACCAATTCAGTTTCAGCCCCATGAAGGACCTGAACCTCCTCTAACAGGGTCCAGATGCATGTTCTGATTTGGCATCTGTGCACAGCCCTAGAAGTGGAGGAAATCTCCCCCAGCTTCACAACACCATGAGCCTCAGCTCCTCTTTCCTGCTCTACATCCCCCCTCACCAGGCATCACAGGTGCAGGGAAGGCACCACTCCTGCAGGCTCCACCACAACACTGTGGAGGGGAATAGCAGCAGCAGCAACACAGGTGGACAATATTCACAGCTACAACAGCTCAGGGAACCAGACACTTCTACCTACTGGAGCTGGCTCAGAAGAACCTAAACCCAAGAGCAGAACATCTTAGCTGTGTATTTCCCCCATCCATGTGGCTTTCTGCGGGGGGGAGGGGGAGAACCAAAACCTGAGAACAGAGTACAGGAGTAAGGAAGAAGCAGTTTTGAGATATTCAAGCTCATTTTATCAGAGTTGCACAAAATCAGTAACAGGCCAGGTTAACATGCCCCACGCAGTGGCAGAACCCAAGACCAAGAGCACAAGACAGATCTGCTTTAAATCTTACATGTCAACAGCACACCCTTGACTGTCGACTTCCTACTGAATGACTCTGTAATCTGAAACTTTCGTAACACCAGCAATGGATGAATTCCAGTATGGGAGGCAGATTATTCCCCTGTTTATATACTGCCAGGTTTCCACACACTTCTCCAAGGCATCTCAACAGGCTGAACAGTTGAACAGCAGGACCTGGCAGTGCAAGGACCTGTCTGGGGCCAGTATGTCACCTTCTCACTTTTTGATAGGAAAAGGGATATATAAACCAGTGCCAAATACTGTAGCATTCCCAATGCAGTTGCTACCCTCAGCCAGATGTTCTTCTACCTATTTACAGATCAGATGCTTTGGATTCTAAACTTGATTTTTATTTACAGCTTGCATAAAAATGCAAGAGAGACCTGCTACATAAACCTCCTCACACAATAACATCTCAGCAGCAGTTCACAGTAAATCCCTGTTTACTCCAAGTCCCTTTGTAATGGACATTCCTGACCCAGCCCTCAGCCCAGCCCCAACAAACCCAAACCTGACTGCACACAGCTGAAAGCAAGACACAGTTCTGCAAGAAAAGTTTGGTTTTGACAGGAGCGATCTGGCCAGAGACCATTACACCCACGCTGCTGCAAAAGCTTCCTGCTCTGCAGAGCTTCACCATCTTGGGGGTTTGTGGATATTTTGCAGCCAGATTAGTCAAGCAGCACGTCAGGTACATTACTCATGGCCCGGGGAAGATTTATGGCTTCAGACACATCATCCTTCTCCAGCCCGAGGAACAGTCGTTTTGACAGTGGGGGACATCTCCAGGGCCCCCAGCAATGATCCCCGAGGGCGCATCGCCGGGGCAGCGGCTGTTTTCGCCTTTTCCTCGCTTTTCCACCCCATCCCACAGCCGTAGAGATGGCTC